ACGAGTACCAGCTTCTCTCCGTCGCCTCTGGAAAGGAGCTGGAGTGACAAACTCCAGCGTAGATATCTGCACTGGAGAAGTCTTAAGTGAAATGACATCAACTCCTCCTGCTGGGTTTAACATAAAAAGAACATATGGGCTTGATACGAAGGCCAGGCGAGCGAGCTCTGAAATACTCGTTTATGGCGTACTGGAATGAAAAAAGTCACAGCTGCTTTGCAAGCCGAGCATTTGTAATTGCTTTGCCAAGTCGAAACTATTTATTTACATTTATAACAGCGTTGCGCTCTAGCCCCGGTGTTTGATGTGAAAAGCTTCGGGAACAGATACGCTCGATCGTAAAAGCCTGCAGGTTCCGTTTTTGGGGGAGTTTCAGGATTGCCGTCGTCGTGCGGCGATTCTCCCGTGAGCACAACCGGAATTGGGCAATTTTAGACATCATTTGTATTCGCTGAAGGTGCAGAACAGAGCTGCTACTGGGGCTGTGCATGTTTGATGTGAAAATAAATGCCCTTAAAGTGGGATACTGGCTTCGTCGCTCTGGGATGCTGAGGGCTCATCCCTTTAGCACTGTGAAAGCACACGAAGTGTTAAAATCCGCAGGCTTGCCTACGATGATCCTTCACAAACTAAATGTGCGTTGCAGGAGGAGTTCCAGTAAAGCTGTGCCTGCACCAACAGAGGCAAGAACTGAGGCTGCGTATCTGTTTCGCTGCGGGTTTTTAATGCTTTGCGGTTGGGAATTTCCTGACATCCCAGCTGTGAGCTCATATTACAAAACGCTTATAATAAGAATTTTCTTTTTTATGGATGATGCTTAATGGATTCTTTGGTAGAGCTGACATCACTTGTAAGAGCCTGGAGAATCACAGAAAGCTTTGGGTTGGAAGGGACCTTTAGAGGCCACCTAGCCCAACCCCCTGCAGTGAGCAGAGACATCTCCAACTGGATCAGGGTGCTCAGAGCCCCATCCACCCCAGCCTGGAATGTTCCCAGGGATGGGGCATCGGCCACCTCTCTGGGCAACCTGGGCCAGCACCTCACCACCCTCACTGTAAGAAATATATTCCTTATATCCAGTCTAAATCTCCCCTCTTTCAGTTTAAAACCATCACCCCTTGTCCTATCACAACAAGCACTGCTCAAAAGATTTTCCCCATCTTTCTTAGAAGCCTCCTTTAAGCACTGGCAGCTGCTCTAAGGTCTCCCCGCAGCCATCTCTTCCCCAGGCTGAG